GCGGCGTGTCCAGGGCAAGTACCCAACGTTGCAGCAAACCCCGGGAGCGGCCGCCGTAAGGGATCTCGGTTGGAGGAGTTTCCGGACGCATACACGAAGCTATTCACACGCGCTGCGAATGCAATGACTCCTCTCCACCTATTAAACAATTGGTTGTGCGACGGAACCGCATTACCGAGCTCACAAAAGAGAACTCGGCCCACGTTGTTTTACGCCAGAATCGGAGACGGGCGGGTATCGAAGAAATATATTCGTCAGAAGAGCAATGGCGCAGTGTTTGCGTGTCATCTTCGCCACAGCGTAACGGCTGGTAAGTACAATTCTCATGTTTTTTTTAAAAATTAAAATTGCTTTTTCCGTTGAGCCTGCCCAATCGCAAACTTCCGATCTGATCTTAATTAGAATTATTCCTAGTGTTGGCGGTTTTACAGTGTAAAACAACATTCGGAATAGAGTCAACCACATTCGTGAAATGTACGCTGACAGACGTGAGAATCACACACGGAGGGGAACAATTGCCAGGAATTATTTGCGGTTTCTTATTTTTTTCCTTTTTTGGAAGCTAGGTACAAATAGTATTTTAATTCCATCCACGATGCTGCATGTGTAAAACCCATGACATCGGTCATCTATCATCCCATACGAAGGCTGAACCATTCATGTAAACCGTTGTTATATTGTTTCGCGGATGCAAATTAAAAGACAGCATTCGCATGAACAACAAGTTTGCATACTGAATAGCAGCTAAATGAACCTAAATGCCCAGAGTTAAAGCCTGCATATTCCTCTTAGAAGTTCAGAAGATTTTGATCACAAGTGCCGTGGGTCCACGCCAGATAACAGATGTATTCGTGCAGTGTGAACGGTGTATCCACCATGACCATTTTGAGATGGCAAAAGCTGATAGAGACGACTTAATACGCGCGGGGTCAACGCGCGCGTGCCAAAAACGTAATGCCACGTGACACCTGTCAATAACCTGTCACTCAGCCTTATGGTGCTTATCCACCCACGCAGATGCCCCTGATGTACTCCAGAAGGCCTGGATGTAAGAATATGTTGATAACATTTTATTATCGATTTTTTTACAAAGCTACTGGTAATACAAGTCGAAAGTGTTCAGGGTTGTGTTCATTGGATAATGACTCGCTGGAAGTCTAGGCCATCAGAAGATATGCACCACAAGATGGTTCTCATCGTGAGTATTGAGCGTGAACGTCGTTTTGTGGATGTCAGTCCACCTTACTCTTCCCCGCACTTAATATGGATACATAGTGTGGAAGAGTGATGCTGATCTGACCGACATCTTGCAGCCTCTGCATCCACTCCGGCATCAGGTCACGGTCACAGAAGCTCCATTCCGCTTTGCATATTGGAATGTCTTCTTCACGTATCTTGATGACGCAGGTCTAGATAAAACCCTGAACACTTCGAATATGTAATACCAGTAGCTCTGTAAAAAAATCGATAAAAAAATTCACTCAAAATATCACATCCGGGCCCTCCAGAGTACATCCGGGGCATCTAAGAACCATAAGGCTGAGTGACAGGTAATTGAGAGGCGACACCTGTCATTACGTCATCGGCTGGCCCGGCAGGGCCAACGCGCGGTTTACTTAGTGGCATGTATTCTCACTGTTCCCACAAAAGTCTTCAGTTGGAAATGCCTGTCCTATTTTTTTGCATTGCCCGACGTCCTTTAACAACTAGACTGCTGTCTTAAATATTGCAGTAAATAAATATTTGCTCTAGGTTGGGGATAGGTTCGTACGTGTGTGTTTAATATGGGGAGACCTTGAAGACCCCCAATTGATATCCGTGAATGGACGATGTAGTAATTGAGCTATCCTCGTTTTAGATGTTCGTGTTCGCGACCACGAAAAGACTGCCAAGCAAGGAGAGCCGTATGCGGTGCTTCCCAATTCAGAAGGCGAGATAACCGATGATCCATCGTTCGCGTTTGCAAGGTGAATAAACTGAGATTGAGCTTAACTGTGGGAAACTGGCGCAAATCTTTTGATCAAGTTTAAAGTGTACTAGTGCCGATTTCAGTCACTGGTAAGTTTTCATTTTTATTAGTTTCTTAATGTGCATTTTGGCATTTGAGTACCTTCAACGTTCAGTCAGTCGATATGAGCCACTGTCTCCCTGCGCAATCGGTCTACTTGAGTTTGTTTAGTAGAACTGACAGACACGGACATAAAACCTAGCCAATCAGATTACACTTGTTACCCCTGTAGCGTCCGGGTGGAGAGGAGGTGTGTAACGTTCTGACGACGCCGAAGGACGAGAGAGTTCGCCAAATGAGCGGATGAAGAAGACAAGACGACCCAAAGATAATGCTTAGGGAGAATAAAGCAATAGTGTCAATGTCTATTTTTAGCCCTAGGTACAGAAATAAACAACAGCGAAAACCGAATACAATGTCACTCTATGGGATAGATTGTCAGAAGAAATTGGTCAGGAAGATCTTCGCAGACCGTCCTCTTGAGATAGATCTTAGCCAGTCGTAGCCAAACCATAAAAGGTTAGCTCCCGTCGAAGA